CTAGCACTCACAGAGAAAAAGGGAAAAAAGAAAGAAACTAGTGTTCTTAATGATGCAATAAAAATTGCTCATTTACAAAATCTTGATCCACGGGTATGCATCTTTTTAATATTCTGTATGATTAAATAGGAAGTATATGAGAGTAAATACAGCAGTATTGCTACTCAGGTTCAAGAGATCAAATAACGTATTGTATTAGGCAAATCTGCTGCCCAAGACCACTTTAAAGTATTGAAGAGCAAGATGTTAGTTTGAGGACTAAAGAGCACCTGACACAAGCCATGGTATTTTTAGTAACCTCATATGCATACGTAAGTTAGACAGTAAATAAGGAAGACCGTAGAAGAATTCATGCATTTGAGTTGTGATGTTGGAGGAGAATATCAAAAGTGCCATGAACTGCCCAAAGACCAAACAGATCAGTGTTTGAAGAGTTGCAGCCAGAGTGCTCCTTGGAAGCCAGAATGACCAAACTTCGTCTCTCATACTTTGGACATATTATTAGGAGGAACCAGTCACTGAAGAGGGATATCATGTTTGGTAAAGTGGAAGGTTGGGAAAAAAGAGGAAGATCCTCCATGAAATGGACTGGCAGAGTGGCAGCAGCAATGGGCTCAAGCGTAGCAACGATTGTGAGGTTGGCTCATAACTGGGCAGTGTTTTGTTCTGTTGTGCGTAGGGTCGCTGTGAGTCAGTACTGACTCGATGGCATCTAACAACAACAACATTCATGTTCTAGTTCATTCATGCCCAAGTTTATCCCAAATAAAACATGTTTGAACATGTTTCTGTCATCACTGGATGGCTGCAGACAGGTTTTCTCAGAAATATACTTGTCTTAGTCTTGTTACGGTACCTTCAAGAAAAAAGATCAAATCAAAACTGTGGTCTCTGAGAGGATCTGCTGGGCCAGTTATATTCCAGGCAATGAGGTTATAGTCACTGGTTTTTGAAATTCCAAAGAGGTAATCTTGATAGAGTTTCTCAAAGAACACAAGATGAACATGAGAGTTCATTTTGAAGAAGCTTTAAGAAAATGAAAAAATGCTTTGGCTCTAAAAAAGCCAGGAAAGTTGCTCTAAGGACTTTTTTTTTTTTTTTTTTTTTTCCATCACAACAATGCACCTGCTCATTCTTCAAGGGCAGCAAAGGCTGTCCTAAGAGATTTTCATTGGGAAGTCTTATTCTATCCATCTTACATCTCTGATCATGCCCTTCAGATTTATTTTTGTTCCCAGAACTCAGAGAACATTAAAAGAACACAATTTGAGTCCCTCAAGGAGGCCCAAACTGCCATTCTGATGCGGTATAAATTGAAGAGTGCAGAATTCTTCAGGGAAGGGTCAGAAAGATGGAAACACTGCCTTCAGAAGTAGGTAGACCTAGAGGAAGGGTTTGTTGAGACGCAATAGCATCACATTTTGATATTTTTGTTTAATAACGATTTCTATTATTTTGTAGCAATACTTTTTGACTCGCCCCATACTTCTGCCGCACACCAACATTTGATGGTTGTGTTGAGGAGAAGTACTTACTTGAATTGCCAGTTAAACTAGCTGCCTTTCTAAAAACTGAAGACCACTTTTACTTGAAAGAAAGGCTGGCAGACAAGCTATGTTATTCAAAGTATGGAAGACATTTTCTTGAAAATTAGCAAAGTGTTCTGGACACTTTAAGGAAAACTGACAGTACTTATTGCTGATGATAATTTCAGGCTTGCAAATGAGGATTAGAGCTTTAAAAACATGCATATGTTGTTCTTAGCTTCTCAGTACATACTTTTCTGATGAGATCATTTTGATCTGATAATGGGATCTGATGAGATCTCATTAATGAATGTGATTATAATATGTATATATGTTATTTAACGAAATAAGTAATATTTGGAAGATCTGTACAACTCCATGAACTAATAATGATTACTAAACAAACAGTGCATGCTGTTTGAAAATCATGTGTGGGTCAAAGATTCATACAAAGTACCAGAGAAACCATTACAAATAGGCAGAGAAAGTTCATTGGTATGATTTTATATTCCGTGTTGGAACTGGCCTATAAGACACTATCTTTGGTCAACTCTGGTGTAGTGTTAAATGCACGGGTGAATGCAGAAGCAGGTAAGTTGTCTTTTATGAAGCCAAGTACTGAAGATATTTATGATAATATAAAATAGAATTGCTTTTAATGCAAGTTTTTTGGTCTGTTTTGGAAAGTCCAGTTATTTTTTTAAAGTATTTATGTTAGTGAGGAGTTAATTGTTATTTTTTAATGAACTACATATTTTAATTTTTTTTCTCTTTTAATTTCTAACACGATGACTATAGATAGATGTAACTCCTTTAGAAGTCCCTGAGTGACATAAATGGTGTTAAGAGCTTGACAACTAGCTGAAAGATTGGAGGTTTGAATGCACCCAGAAGTACCATGGAAGAAAGACCTGGTACTCTCTGTTCATAACCACCTGAAAAACCTATGACACAAGTTCTATCCTGTAACACATGGGATCTCTTTTAGTCAGAATTGACTCAACAGTAAATGGCTTGGTTCTGGGCTGTAGGATTTATAATTGTTAAGTTTGTAGTGGTGTCACTTAAGCCCAAGAGTTTGAAAAACAAAGTTGCAGGTGATAGAAAGAAAAGTTACAGAGTAATCTTTGAATATGTATAAACTTGATAGGAGATAATACTGGTTTATTAGCAAAAATTGTTCAGTGCACTAGAATTGCTATTTATAACAGTACCAAAATATTTCTAAATCTTGTTAGTAAGTTATGTTGATAGTATACACTAGAAATCTCCTTGGAAACCCTCCACAGGGTCACTGTAAGTTGGAACTGACTAGATGGCACTTAACAATGACCAAATGGGCTCCTGGTGTGGCACTATATGATAAGCACTTGGACTGCTAACCACAAGGTCAGCGTTTCAAACCCACCAGTCGCTCCTTGGAAACCCTGTACTACAGGGTCACTGTGAGTCAGAAACAATGCTATGGTACTCAACAACAATAACAGAGACCAAAGGGGAGCCCTGGTGATGCAGTGGTTCAAGCACTCAGCTGCTAACTGAACGTCAGGAGAACAGGTGTGACAGGCTGCTTCAGTAAAGATTTACAGCCTTGAAACCCTGTAGTTCTTCTCTGTTCTGTAGGGTTGCTATGTGTCGGAACTGACTGGATGGCAGTGGTTTTGGTGTTAGTGACCAAATAAATGGAAAGGTTACCAGTGTTCCTTATGTGAAAATTAGAAGATTGTTAATAAACCACAATTTTCACTTGATGTGGAGATTCCAGACCACCCAGGTGTATTATATGTGAAAAAGAAATAAAAATGCATCAAGAGAAAATAATTATTTTATTTCCTCATAATTATGTGTAGCACAGGGAAAGGAAGTGAAGTAACATTGGTCATTCTGTTATCATTGAACTTAAATCAGTGGCTACAAATATGCATTTTTACAACAGCAACCTTTATTCTAACCAGGAAAGCTATCAAGATACATAATTAAATCTAACAGCCCTGGACACTGGCTGGGCTATATTAAGGTTACCTTGAGGAGCTTTATCACCTTTGCCGTTTGTGTTTGAGAACCTTTAATACCTAAGGTTACTATTTTGGGAAGGATCGGGATTACTTTTTTAATCATTGTCTTTGTGGTACTTTATTTAGAATATTGTGTTATTACTGTTGTTGGATGTCAATTCTCACTTAACAGTGACCCATGTGGCACAATGGAACTATCCCATAGGGTTTCCTACACTGAAATGTTTACAGAAAAGATCCCTTGTGGTTCAGTGGTTCAGTGTTATGCTGTACTTAGAACTCACCAGCTGCTCTGCTGGAGAAAGATGCGGCAGCCTGCTTCCATAAAGAGATGCTGCCTTTGAAACCCTGTGGAGCTGTCCTTCCCTGTCTTTGAGGGTTGCTCTGAGTAGGAATTGACTCCATAGCAATGGATTTGGTTTTTTTGGAGCAGATCACCAGGTCTTTCTCATCCAGAAGCTCTAGATGGGTTTGAATCACCAGCCTTTCGGTTAGCAGTCAAGAACTTAAATATTACACCAACAAGGTTCCTTGTTAGTACTGATCCTGGTGGCTTTTTTTTTTTCTTAAATTGTGCCTCATGAGAGATGATGTTATTAAGTGCCATTGCATCACTTATGACTCATAGCGACCCTGTACAGGGTTTCTGAGAAGTGGCTGCTGGTGAGTTTGAAATGCTGACCTTGTGGTTCAAACTGACCTCACAGTCCAGTGCTTATCCTGCAGCGCCACACCAGGCCTCCAGGGAGATGGTGTCAATGTATTTAAATCATTACATCAGCTATCATTTCCTTTTCTTTATTTGTACCTCTCTGATGGCTCATTCTTTCTACCTTTAGGAAGTGGCTTCAGGCATTAGAAATAGTGACTTTTTACTACCTTTCAGAGTGTTTTATAATTAAAGATTTATTTGTTCATAAGAATTGAGCTTTGTAAAATAACCTCACTTATGACAAGTGCCCTCATTTAAAACAATTTGCTTAGCATGATTTTCATATGTGATGAGTTAGTCTTAATGATCTGTTTTCCCTAGTTTAGTTGAGTTTCAATATGATGTTGTATCTTTGGTTGGAGTGTTTTACTTGCTGTGGATCTAATTCTAGGGCAGTGTTACTGAACATTTGCACTATAATCTAGGTTTCACAGTGAATGTTCTTTCTTTCATGCATCTAAGCCATATGATATGTTGTTGTTGTTGTTGTTAAATTCCATCTAGCCTATTTTGACTCATCATGACCCTATAGAAGGTTTCTAAGGAGTGGCTGCTAGGGTTTGACCTGCTGACCTAGTGTTTAGCAAGCAATCCAGTGCTTATCCTACAGTTCCACACTAGGACTATATTACATTGTTTTTGTTAGCGTAACATCTCCATAATACCTCTTTTAAGGCGAGGAGTCTCTTCTAGGGGGATTGAGTTACAAATCAAAAGGGAGAATTAATTTTTTTTCTCTTTTTGTAGAGCCAGGAAATGTCATTTCTATTCTTATTTCTTCAGAGTTTTTGAAAATGGATTCATTGGTAAGTATTAATTAATAAAAGATCCAAGCTCTTTTATTCTCCTTTGTTTAATTTGACAGGGATGCTTAGATTTTTTTCTTAAGTGTCTCTCAAATTCTAAAAAATCTTATTAAAATCGTTGTTAATTCAAGAGCTTGAGTCCATTAGAATAAATAGTGCATGTTTGAGGGTTCATTGAAGCCCTGGTGGCGCTGTAGGATAAGTACTGGACTGCTTAGCACAAGGTGAGTAGTTCAAACCCACCATCTACCCTGAGGAAGAAAGATAGGCTTTCTGTTCCCCAAAGGATTTACAGCCTTGGATAGTAGTGAGTTTGGGTGTTTCGGGTTTTGTTCGGTTGTGGTGCTCCTGACTCAAGTCCTGGTATTTTCAATCATCTCATATGCATGAGAAAGCTGGACAATTAATAAAGAAGAACAAAGAATTGATGCATTTGCATTATGGTGGTGGGGGAGACTATTGAAAGTACCATGCGCTGCCAGAAGAATGAACGAATCTATCTTGGAAGAAGTACAGCTGGATGCATGCTCCTTAACAGCTAGGATAGTAAGACTATCTTACAGTACTTTGGACATGTTATCAGGAGGAACCAGTCCCTAGAGAAGAACATGATGCTTGGTAAAGTGGAGGGTCAGCAAACTAGAGGAAGGCCCTCAAGGTAATGAAATGACACAGTAGCTGCAACAGTGGGCTCAAATATAGCAACTGTTGTGAGGATGGGGCAGGACCAGGCAGTGTTTCATTGCGGTGATGTAGCGCCACCCTAGTGATGGAGAGGCACTGTAAGTCGGAGCTGACTCGATGTCATACAATAGCAACAGACCCCCAAGCCCACATTCTCCATTAAAAAGTAAATAAATTCATCTATTTGGAGAGAGGATAAGAGGAATCCAACACGATTGAGGAAATTCTGAAGTGACTAAAATTTTATTTCTGCCACCCAAAGAAATGGAGGCTTAAAATCATCACTATGTTCAGTGATAGAAAGCCACATATCCCGTACACTTGAGTTTGTGGACTGATATTTATGCCTGCCACATCCATAGGAAGATCATTCCATAGTGATTGCAACATTCCAAGAAGGTTGAAAATTATTTACGTATGTTTGTACAAATTTGACCTGCTAGCCACTTTTGAACAGTGTATATTAACTCAGATAGGAAATACTCGGTTAGTTCCTACCAATTGTTATTGCTATGTTGTTGTTAGTGCTATAGATTGGGCTTTAATCACTTTTTATCTTTGGGAAGTATCGATGAAATGTCATCCTAGTATTTTCAACATTAATTTTCTATTCTGCTTTTTTAGGTTGAACAATGTATTCAGTATTGCCATGAAAATATGAATGCCATAGTAGCCACCCCATGCAACATGAACTGTATAAATGCAAATCTTCTTACACGTATAGCTGATCTGTTCACACACAATGAAGTGGATGATTTAAAGGACAAGAAAGACAAGTTTAGGAGGTAATTTAAAATTTTTAAATTTTTTAATCCGATGTTTCTGTTAGAAGGTATTTCTATGCATTTCACTACCACAGTATACTCATACTATAATGAAGGAGTATATTAATAAGTGTATTGTGATAATGGATGACATTAAGAATGAATGAACCAGGCTTATATATGAAGGAACCGAGTAGAACAAAATGAGATAAGCAGTGGCTGTAGCATCTAGGGACTGTCTAGGCAGTGACGGGAAGGATATAGTTTATTCTCAGGTTGATTGGAAGCAGAGGTGCGACATGGCCTAATTTCATATTCATACTCGTCCTAGTTCCTGTATGGAGAACAGATTGTAGGGGTCTCAGAATTGAAGTAAAGCAAGTGAGGAGGCTAGTGCAGTAGTCTGGTGAGAGATGACCAGGTGTGACGGGGAAGAAGTGGGACTGGAGAGAAGTAGACAGATTCAAGGACTGTTAGATTTAACCAATGTGATGGAATCATGGGAAAGAGAGGAAGAGAGGGTTTAAGGATAATTACTAGGCTTTGAGCCTGGACAGGTAAGTGGTTAGTGGTGCATTTGTGGAGAGAAGAAAGATTGGGGCAAAAAGAATGAAGAGGTGGGTCTTATTAAGAAGAGTATTTAATATTTGCTGTAGGCTAAGTACTGGACTGGAAATAAAAAGGTGGGCAGTTCAAACCCACCAGCTGTTCCTCGGAAACCCAGTTCAGGGTCGCTGTCAATTGGAATCAGTTCGATGACACCTAACAACAACAATATACTTACTGGAGTCCTGGTGAGGCAATATAGGATAAGCGCTGGACTACTTACCACAAAGTTGGCAGTTCAAACCCACCAGCTGCTCCTTGGAAATCCTATACAGGGTCACTATGAGTCAAAACCAACTTGATGACACATAACAACAACAACAGCAATATGCTGGTTGGACATTCACGTGGAAATGGCAAAGAAACAGTTGGATATACCAGTCTGGTGTTGAGGTCAGAGGTCAGAACTTATAACAGATATTTAAGAATATATGAGGGTCGAAGCTATGGAACTGGGTGATACTTCCTAGCAAGAGACCATAGTTAGTCTATTTTATGTTCTGTAGAACGCATCTTTGTAATATTAATGATGGTGAAGATATTCGCCAGTGGTTTCTCTGTTATCTTGACTCTTGTGACCAAAATCTTGATGAATATTGAAACCTGCTCCCTCTTTTCTTAAGCAATTGTAAAGATGCACCAGGAGTCCTAAGTGTGGTGCTATAGGATAAGCACTGGACTGCTAACTGCAAAGTCATCAGTTCAAACCCACCAGCTACTCCTTGGTTGCTATGAGTTGGAACAGATCGACAACATCATTTTGAATTAATTATTATATGTGATACAAGGTAGTAGCCACAGTTCATTGTTTTTCTTATCTTACTGACATAGCTCCATTCATTGAACAGACCATCCTTTCCCCACTGGACTTCAGCGAGCGACAGCTTTACTCATTAAGTCTGTATAGCCGAGGTCTGTTTCTGATTTCCCCATTTTGTTCTATTGGTTTCTCTGTCTATCCTTTTATCGGTAACATACCATATTAATTATAATAACTTTGTTTTACAGTAACAAAGGACCAAAAGATAAGTAGATATCTCTTGTCGGGGACCTGCCTCGACATTGGGGTTCAGTTCACGAGGGGAGGATACCTGACGGCGACTCAAGAATACACAGAAAGAGACAAAGAGAGAGACAAAGAGGCACCCCAAAGCCAGGGTGGATACATCACTGATAGGCAGGCTTGGGACTACAGGCATCGTGGCCTCTGCAGGCAGCAACTCACTGCCCTGCAATCTTTACCACATGCCTTCCAGCCAGTAATGCACTGCTATCTTTACTGTACGCCTGCCAACCAGTAATGCTACCTGGGGAAGCCTGGGCCTCTGCTTTATTCAGGGGAGGAGCTTCACACCAAGCTGGGAGGGACTTAGGCAAGGTACAGCTAACATCAGTACTTTTCCAGACATTCAGGTAACTTTACATAGTACATCACTGGTTCGAATCCCAGGCCAGCAACTTGGATTCTCAGGCCCAATTAACATATCTATAGTCCCT